TCCGGCCCTTCAAGAAGTGGGCTCCATGGCTGGTGCCGGCCTTCGTCGTCGCCAATTCCGTTCTGTTCTCGATCTCCATGTACGTCAACGATTGCCCCAGAAACTCCTCTTCTTGCATTGCTGGGTTCTTGGGCAGATTCTCGTTTCAGCCCCTTAAAGAGAATCCCCTCCTTGGCCCTTCTGCCTCCACGTGAGCTCCTCTTTCTCTGCCTTTGATTCTCTGTTTGCTGTTCTAATGATTGAGGATGTTTATGCTCTCTGAATCTGAAATCTCTTGCTATGAGCATTTTTGTCATTTTTTTCAAGGTAATTTTGGTTTTCTTTGATAGTTTTAGGTGCTGCAATTTATTTCTATGTTCATCTGCTCTTTGGCTGACAATTGTAAGAGAAGAAGTTATGTTCTTTCTCACTTTATTTAGTTTGGAAATTTCAGATTAGAAAAGATGGGTGCTCTGGAAGTTGATAAAGTGGTTTTTGGGCACCAGCCATGGAGATTGATCTCTTGTATATGGTTACATGCAGGGGTGTTCCATATACTTGCTAATATGCTGAGTCTTGTTTTCATTGGAATTCGGCTTGAGCAAGAATTCGGTTTCGGTATGTGCTCTGTTACTTCAAAATTCAGTGCCTTCTTCGACRTTGTAGTGTCGATTTAATTAAGAGCCTGTATGATAACACCAACGTWTTTTCTTAATCTAATTTCATAAGAGTTTTGAAATCCTAACCAAATTTTGAAGACTGAAAAACTAAGCAAAGGAAGCATATGCATAATTAGTTTTCATAATAAAAATTGAAAGTCAAAAACATAATCTCAGCTAAGCTTTTTGCAGTTACCTTCAATAAGCCTGTAGATGGTATTCTTTTGGAATGTGATTTTTTGTTTACCAGAATTTGTGAATTGATTATGAATCATTCTAAATCTGCATTACAAGTAGGACCAGTAAAAGGATGAAAGAGAGGATAAGAGACAAAGCTATCCTTTTTCTTTTCCTGATAATAGCTTCACATTCTTGTTCTTGAACAGTGATAATTTTTTTTTATGTATTTCTTTTCTTTCTTATCCATAGTTCGAATCGGGATGCTGTACATTATATCTGGATTCGGCGGGAGTTTGTTGTCGGCTCTGTTTATTCAGTCGGGTATCTCAGTAGGCGCTTCGGGTGCTCTTTTTGGTCTCCTAGGAGGCATGTTGTCGGAGCTCCTTACGAATTGGACGATATATGCAAATAAGGTAAACAAAGTTTKAAATAGATAAGTCACTCGAACAATCTATGCATTGACYGGTARTTGACCCAGAAYCTTGTGATGAAGCTTGCAGCATTATTGACTCTCCTCTTCATCATTGTAATCAATYTGGYCGTGGGAGTACTTCCTCACGTTGATAATTTTGCTCATATTGGAGGATTTATCTCTGGTTTTCTTCTTGGGTTCGTGTTTTTGGTACGCCCTCAGTTCGGGTGGGTTAGCCAAAGAAATGCATCTCGTAGACATAATTCAACTTCGGCTAAACCTAAATATAAGGCATATYAGTATGTGCTATGGATTGTATCTCTGCTGCTACTGATTACTGGGTAAATGMTTTTCTTGATTTCATYATATGATTTGAACTTGAAGTTCCTGTTTGTGCTCCTGAGTTTGTGTATTTTTTTCTTCAAGTTGATTCCTGCATTCATATTGAATTTTCCAATACCAGCTAGCCATTAGTTTGCTCACCATCGACATTGCTTAACCGATGTTGCGGAATCGACAGGTTTGCAATTGGTCTRGTCTTTCTCTTTAGAGGGGAAGATTTGAATGATCACTGTTCGTGGTGCCATTATTTGAGCTGCGTTCCTACATCAAAATGGAGCTGCAACTCACAGAAGTTCTCTTGTGAGGTAACTAACTATACTTCTCTTGCATTCCCACGTCTCTAAAATTGCTTAGATGCCTCCAGTATTAGCATCATAGGATGCCAAGGTATCTGAAAATTCCCGAATATCCAATATTCATGTTMAACAAACACAGGAATCTAGATGTCCATTCCATGAGAATCTTAGATTCCTACGAAACAAATAGCCCYTAAGATACTACCATCTCCAAAGAAAAAAAGCTCAGCATTTCTGAACTTTATATCGTTCGTGCAGTCAAGTCAATTGGGAAATCAACTAAACATGACGTGCCTGAGCAACGGGAGAAGTGGCTCGTATTCGTTAGCCAATAGTACTAGCTCTTCTGAGGTGCAACAGATATGTTCTCAGCTCTGCAGTTGACATAGGTAAGATATAAACTTTATACTGAATGAGGAAAATGTGACGACTTGATAGGGCTCTCTCTACCCATTGTTTTATAACCCAAGTGTATATGTCATATTTTTCATGTATTTCTTCATAMAAAAAGTCTTCTGTGCCAACCTCAGATCATGGAAACAACATAAAACTTTTTATTTTCATCTCTCAAACCACAGAGTTACCCAAATCTTTATTATTCAACTCACTTTGCAAACAAAATTGATTTGAACTCACTTATGAGAGGATATATGCTTAAGATAAATTGTTCATTCTTTGTAAATATATATAGAATTTTTTTTTTGTTAAATTACAATTTTGGTTCCCGAAAGACTAAGGTTTGAGAGAATCTCGTTCTTTCTATTCCATCCACTAAACGAATGCATAGATAAGTGTACAAGGTTAACCCAAAGTAAAGAAGGTAAAAGGACGATAAATGACAAATAACTAAGATGATTACAATAGTGCAAAATATAATAATTTAAGCACTATAACACTCTCTTCAAGTTGGAGCATATATGTTAACCATGCCTAATTTGTTTGAGAGATAATATATATGTGCTCCATTTAATGCTTTCGTGAAGATATCTCCTATCTGCTCTCGAGTTTTCACATATCTTGTGGATACTAATCCTTGCTGCATTTTCTCATGTATAAAATGACAATGGACTTAAATAATATGTTTAGTCAATTCATGAAATAGTGGATTAGATGCAATATGAAGATCTGTTTGATTATCTCMCCAGAGAGTTGTGATATCAAATCCCAATTTAGTAGGAAATTGACATATCCACATCAATTCACGTATAGATTGTATCATCGCTCTATATTCTAATTTAGCGCTTGAACCTGACATCACATTTTGTTCTTATTTTTCCAAGAATTAGATTATCCCTAACAAATGTATAATATCCTTCCCAATCAACATATCAATTTGTTCTTATTTTTCCAAGAATTAGATTATCCCTAACAAATGTATAATATCCTTCCCAATTAACATATCAAAAAATTCAATATGGTYAATGGTCAACAGCAGGATAAGGCATATACTCACTCACAATATTCTCATGRATAAGCTATGTCTGACCTAATCATCATCAGGTTTAGTTTCCKATTTCTTCACAATACTCATTGATAACCATCGCGAGATGGTCTAATGGTCATAGGATGTAATATCCTACGAGTTATCTTGTCAACCACATGTAGTAGAGTCAGGTGGTTGGCTCGAGGTGCATGCAAGCTGGCCTAGACACATGGATATCAAAAGMAAAAAARGTTTCTCAAATACAGATTTTCTCTGTGACAAAAGAATTTCTTTCTTGCTTCTTATTACCTCAATTCCCAAGAAGTATTTCAACATTCTTGTAATAACAATATTTCTGTATCAAAATGCACAATTAGTAAGATGACACAGGTCTCAAATCGTTTCTAAAAGACAAAATTATCTTACTTACTTTTCTTTCCAAAGTTCTCAATTACATGACTAAAACAAAATTATCTATCTTACTTTTCTTGCCAAAGTTCTCAATTACATGACTGAATTTTCCAGACCACGTGCATAAACTTTGCTTTAATCTATGCAAGAATTTACTAAGGCGACGTACCTTTGCATTCTCATTGAGCAACAAAACTCAACGATTGCTCCATATACACTTCTTGAAATATCACGATGTAGAAAGACATTTTTAATACCAAGTTGATGAATGGGCCAATGATAGATACGAAATGAATAACCTGACAGAAGCTAATTTAGCAATTGGAAAAAAAGTATCAGAATGGTCAACTTCATAAGTTTGCACGTAGCTTTTAGCAACAAGACGAGCTTTCAATCGGACGATTGATTTGTCAGAGTTAACTTTAGTGGCGAACATACATTTACAACTGATAGATTTTTTTTCTATAAGAAGAGAAACTAAATCTCAAGTACCATTGGAAGATGCCAACTAGAATGAGATAGAGCTTCATGAACAATTTTAAGAACAGATAAGACTCAATGAATGCAATGAATGAATAATTAAGAGAAAATAAATAGTTATATGAAACAAAAGAGGAAACATAATAAGTACAATAATATTTACCTTTGCGAAGAACAATAGGAAGATCGTCGTTTGTTCTTAAATCCAATGACGCAGAAGCTACTTGTATATGGCATGTGACCGGAGGAGATTGTTGTTGAGAAGGATCAGACATAGATGAAGATGTATCGTTAGAGGGCACTTCCTTATAAGAAGAGGCAATTGAACAGATAAGAAAGTCATCGTCCTCTTCTGGACGTTTCCCTTGATTATTACCCAAATATGATGAAGAGAACGAAGTATCATCAAACAACGTAATGTTCGTTAGGAGATAAGACATATCTATTGAAATTAAGAAAGAAAAGAGGAAATTGTTAGCATTCTCCAAAACGGTCTTCTCACATCCAAAATCGTCTATGTTTTTTTATCGGTTGAGCTAAAATCGTTCTCGTTGTTCTCCATTTGTGCTATATGTTAAGCTTTTCTTTTTTTTTTTTGGTAAACCTACATAATTTGATTTGAGGTCTAGTTTATAGCAATGAGTTTAAGTTTGACCACTAACCATTGTAATTATCTCTCTCTCATTCAATTGTTCACCATATAACATTTGAAGAGGAATCAACGTACTATCTAGAGAAATAAAAAATAACAAAGTTCTCAAAGAAAAAAAAAGTAAACAATTTGGGGTTGGGTATGAAAAAAAAATAATTGAGTATATTGTAATGTAATAGTAAATGATTTGATATTGGGTATGAACAAAAAATTGGTGTATTATAATATAATAATAAGCAATTTTATATTGGACATGAAAAAAAAGGGTACTCTGATATGAAATAGTAAACCATTTAATATTGGGTATGAAAAAAAAAATATATATTGAGTACATKTATGCAATAAATGAACAACAACCGTGGAATAAAAACGAATGTTTATTTATATATATTTAGTACAACATATGGGTAGGGGATCAAACTCACAACCTCTTGATTATAGGTATATATCAATTACCTTCTCGTTTGGAAAAATCATTTCAAAAACAGCCAACAATGAAAGAAGCATCACATAAAATGTATAAAGTTAAAAAGGGTTGGAACSRAAATTATGAAAAAAAATGAAAGAATCAGCGGAAATAACTTAAATTTTTTTGGTGAAGATCGAGGTAAAATAATACAAAAACACATAAATAAATAAAGTTGAAATTGCGTAACTAAAAGGAAATTATCCCATTTACGCTCTTTTTCCTCATCATTGTTAAATGTTTGACAACTAAGAGAGAAATGTAAAAACAAAGATTTTTCTTTAAAATAAATTAATGAGATGTAAATTTTTCARTAGYAGTGAAGATAAGATTTGGTCATTATCAACAWGGAACCAAAAATTTTCAGCTCCAATATGCTAATTGTCAAGATGCAATTTTACCTTTTGGAAGTGAGGTTTAAATCCACAAGCTCGAAATCGAGCTCAYACCCTCTTGATTTGAGATATATGTTAATTACTGCTAAGCTATGCTTGCTTTCACCGATTGTTTCTCATCAATTTCATAATAGACATATATTACTAATCTTTCACCTTCCTGAAGAAAAAATTACAATACTTATTGAAGTTTAAAACTAAAATTGATTTGCCAACTGAATATACTCTAATGTCATATATCTAAGTTTTATTGTTTTCAAATCACTAACAGATTTAATACTTTTCAAAAAAAAAAAAAACAGATTTAATAAAAGATGTCAATTTTTTACAACTACTTTTGAGTCTTTTGAGTTTGAAAGTTTAATTTTAGCTAAATCATTCAAAATTCTCTCTTTTTTTTTGAGAAATCAAAATTCTCCTTTTAACTTTTAGGTTAGTTTCAATGATCTCTATATAATTTAAAAATTTTCATTTATACCTTGACCTTTTAAAATGAATYATTCAAATATGTCTATAAATAATTCGAGGAAAATTAACTCGAATTAAACAGTAGACCTGACTTTTAAAAAATGATAACAAATAAACCACTTTTGGTGTTCATATTTTAACCCCAACAATAATTGCCTTAGGTTATTGGTACTTTYCATATTTATCGTTCGTTTTTTAAGCTTTGTTACAACTAAATATGCGACATCAACTTCAATTCAAACTTATTTAAGAGCTTATTTGATTTATTTTAAAGATTAAGGATAGAAATGAAAGGATTTTATCCGTATGAGCATAGTTGAAAATGTTAAGGCATACATCATAGACCAAAAAGTCGAGGTTCGGATCTCCATCTCATTTGTTGTTGAACTTGAAAAATAAATAAAAATAAAAAAATATTATTTTGATTTCTGTACTTTTAAGTTCGATTCAATTTAGTCCTCGTACATTTAAAATATTTATTTTGGTTCATGTACTTTCAAATTCGGTTCAATTTAATCCTTGTACTTTCAAAATATTCGTTTTGGTCCCTCAATTTTTAAAAACCGACTRTTTTGGTTCCTACTTGCAAAATATTAACTCCAATTCTACGCATAACGGAAACTCTTTAATATAAAGTCATAGTTATATTTCAAAAAAAAAATATCGTATGTAGCGTTGTATTGAAATTGTGATAGAAAAAATGATATTAGAAATAAAAATAAAAGACCAAAATAGTCACTTTTAAATGTACACTAACTAGAACGAACTATTTTGAGATTACAAAGATTAAAATGAATTAAAATTGAAAACATATGGMCAGAAATATTGGAACTAAAATAATATTTTAACTCGAAAAAAAAAAGGAAAAATAAGGTGAAAAGGATTTTGAATAATTTAGAATTAGAATTAGAAGTTTGAAGAGGTAATTATAAGTTATAACCCTCGCGATATTTTAGAGAGAGTTTTTCAAATTTGTTAAAAAGATCGAAAGAAAAAAAGAAAAAAGAAAAAAAACCGTCTTTTTCATTCTAGCGCTGGCCAAACCCTCGGTGCCTCGAACCCTCCGTAACTTCCTCTCAAATCCTCTCTGCAACGACGTGCTTCTCAGGTATCTTCTCTCTTCTTTTAGCTTTTTTCTTTCTCTTCTTTTTTGCCTCTTGATTCTATTTATCCTCCTTTGATTCATTTTTCAGCTCTGCTTTTGTAAATTTCATTGCCCACAATCTGCAAGACCCCCCGCATTTCATTGTTTTTTTCTTTTTTGAGAATAGGGCATGTATTTTCTTTTACGAATCTTCGGTTTTCTTGTAATGGAGGTCTGCTAAGAACTGGGTCTTTACTGGGTGTTTTTCTCTGATGGGGTTGGAGAGAACAATATAGAAGGGATCTTTAATGGGTTCTTTACAGAAAAATAATGGACTTAAAAAAGAGATTGGTTTTTTGACCTGATTTTCCCTTCGATGGCTTTGATCCTTGCTTGCATGAATGTTGTATCTATGTGTGCTGTAGAAAGTTTGTTGTATGAACCACATAGGTTGGCCTTGGCCTAGTAGTGTCATTAGGGGACAATGGTAAAATTAAACGGCTTAGAAAGGATGATTTCAAACTATGGTGACCATTTACCTTGGATTTAATATCGTACGAGTTTTCTTGGCAACCAAATATAGTTGGGGTAGGCCGTAGTTCTGAAAAACTAGTTAGGAAGTTGGCTTAGATACTCATGGATATTGAAATATTAAAAAGAAAAAGAAGTAATATTAATGTATGCTTAATTGTTCTCTGTGTAGGATTATTTTGGAAGTCCTTTCATTGGAGAACTTGTATTTTATAATGACTAAAACATCAAATTTTGTAATAATGGTTGTTGGAGATTTTGTTTTCTTCTGGGAGAGTACTGGGTTCACTAGTTTATTCTCATGAAGTTTACATTAGAGTTTAGATAAATTTTGTGTCTGGTTCTTTTCTAATGGGGCACCTAGAATCTCACACTTAATTCACTAGTGTCAAAAATTTATGGCAATTATCATTTTAACTAGAATGACCTATTTGTCCTTTGATAAACTCACTGGAATACATTTCAGAAGAAATTAAAAATAAACTCACTGGCATAGTTTCCACTGCCTCTGTACAATGTAATGTTAGTATCTGATTTAAGTTCTCTCAACTAAATATGCCTAATTAGTTTAAAATAGCAATTATATATGTCCAAGAAGGTATYGTTATGACCCACTGGTGTCATGTTCTCTTGGTGGACCTTGAGAGCAAGGAACTTTCTCGTGAATGATTGTTGAATTACTGTGCTGCTCCTATGGTACAAAACTGCTACTTTCTAACATTGTAAATGTGATCTTGTTTCATTTTAAATTATTAATGGAACATGTTGAAGGCAGGCATTGTGCTCATTGGTAGTATCAAGGGCTATTTGGTGCTAACATTTATGATAATTGTCAAACATTATGCTATCCGTTTTGAAAATCCACGACTGTCCTGCTATCTAACAATAGAATACAATCAAATCTGCATTGATAYTTCTTGATAACCTGAACCAAACATAAGATATACCTGTTTATAGAATAATCAATTTTAATGTTAGCTATTTTGGCGCTAACATTTTCTTTTTCTTTTTTTTTTTTTTTTTAAATACCTTACACTAACAGTTACATAGATGTTCTGACATATTCTAGCATAAGATTTTGTCTTCTATCAGCATAGGAAATTTTAGAGGACAAATCTAAAACAGATAAGCACTAAATATATTATATGATTTTGGAATGATGATAAAAAGATAGATACTATTAAGGCTATAATTAGGGTGGGTTTGGAATGACTTTTGGAAGGATGAAAAGTGCTTTTAGCCTATTACGAGCACTTCTCAAAATTTTCTGGCTGCATGTTACCTAGTAAAAAGTGATTTTGAGAATTAAAAAACGCTTGAAAGCTTTTTTAAAATCCTTTTAGAGAAATCGCTTATAAAAGTGCCTTTCTAAAAGTATTTATAGAAAAACTACTTCACCTAAAAATACTTCTATCATTAGCCATACCAAACCCACTCTTAGATACTGTTAGGAAATATTACTGAGGATTTATTGGAGATATTTAGGATATTTGAGGGCATGTTTTTCATTAGTAGGGGGTTGGTTAGTTCTGGAAAGTTTTCGTCAATTGGGTAGTTATAGGAAGTTGGGTAGTTATGGGAAGTTGTGCTTTGTGTTTTGTATTTAATCTTCGTGTAAGGGAATGGTTTATCATGGAACTAGACTGAAGAGTGCTAGACCTCTTGAATGTCTAAAAAATGAGTGTGTCAAGACTCTCGAATGTTTAGCTAGGTTGTAATCTACTAATATGTGCAATAAAATTGTGATCCATCTTTAAGTTACATTAGAGAAAGCCATTTAGTTTGGAAGTCTTATTTCTCTTAATCTTGGTAGATTGGATACATAGTTGTTGAATCATAGAAAAGCCTTCTTCAATTCTCTACTTTTTGCCCTTCTTTTGTCCTTGAAAAATTATGCATAGAAAAAGTTGGATGGTAAGCACTAAGCAGCATTATAACTAACTACTAAAGTTCAAAGCCCTCACTCTTAACATTAAAAATTAAAGATGAATAACAATAGAAACGCTGACTTACTAGTTACTTCAACCCTCTCGAGTTAGAGGGATGGCTCCTTGGCATGCTTCCTTTGTTGATCTTATGGAATATTTGGCCTGAGAGAAGTAGGACGGTTCTATTGTTAAGTAATTTTGTAATTATCCGGAGCCATTTCTTGTAATTGTATTGTAAGAAACCAACCTTTTTTTTTCTTTTGGCTCCTTTTNCTTGTGTATTCTTGTATTTTATCTCAATGGAAGTTGGTTTATTTGTTAAAAAAATGACTTCAACAGAGATATAGCAAAGCATGAAAACTTTTTTTTTTTTGGTTAGGATTTCAATAGGTGAAAAACAAAAAGGTTGTTAGTAAGACCATAGCTTTATAAATAAAATACTACAAGCGAAAATTCTATCAAAAGGGTCTTAGCTAAGTTTTAAGTAATAGAAGGTATCTTCTTGGCCACAATGTAGACATTGGACAAAACAGTTTGGTATATATTTAGGAAATTCAATACATTAACCTACCTCCTACAAGAACATGAAAACAGGGGCAGTGCCAAATTTTGATGTACAATTATGAAACTTTTTCATTGACTCTTGGATAGAAATTATAAAGAATAACATAGGAGGCAGTGGCAGTGCCAAATTGTCAGGATGGAAGGATAGACGAGACTGCTTGTAGAATACTTGTTACTAGAAAAGTTGCTTGATTTCATTGAAAACAATGCTTATATGTCAATTATTCAAGAGGTATATGGGATTGAATGCTACATATATTTTCAGGTTACTCCAACTCCTGGTTCTATGGGTCAAGGGCGTGCTCGTGGCTCAAGTTTAGGACCCACTCCCACTCAAGTGTTCAAGTCTTCACCACGTCGATTTACTGGGATTGAGATTCATAATGAGGCTAATATGGAAGATTATCAAAATGTAGATGCTAGACTTTCGATATTAGAATCGAAAATGGCCAATATGCTTTCGATTTTGGTACAAAATGGTTTCATGCAAGCCAGCGGTGCAAATGGGGTGTATACAAATGGTGCTTCGCCATATTGTCAATACAAGAATCCTGGACGTGTTAGTAGCATGAGATTACGTCCCACCTCCACTCAAGTGTTCCATCGCGATATTCGTTACRAGACTAATATGGATCAAAATGTAGATGCCAGACTTTCAGTATTAGAGTCGCAAATGGCCAAGGTAGTTTCAGTTTTACGACGAAATGGTTTCATGCAAGCCAACATCTGAGCATGGTCACACACAAATGGTGTTTCAAGACAGGTATAACCCTTTTTRTGTTCTATAATCTTGTGTTATTTTCTTAGTAAATTTAACTATTATCAGGATCATGGAGGCAACTCTTGGAGTGGAATGATGTGTCGAGTTTGTGAAGTCGACCCTATCCGACCCGCGTCCTTCGTGATATTTTAACAACAGTTTGTAGTGGTAAAACATTTTTATCTAGTATCTCCAAGGTTAAATATTTTGATATTTTCTTTAGTGAATATTTTTGGGATGATATCAAGTATGTCTCACTAGAGTATTCTTCTAATTTTACCCTTTTTCTTTGTGTTAACATCTTGTGGATGGGAGTATTATTGTGCACATATATGTAAAGATATGCACTAAGAAAATGGTTTTTAAGTTTTTTTGGGGCTGTTACACACCATTTGGTAATGTTTCTTATTCTCGTTTCTCATTTTCTGCCTATTGTTTCTATTTTCTAATAAAGAAAACCACAAAGGTATTTGGTATTTGGTAATTGTTTCTTGTTTTTCTTTTTCCTTTTCTTARTAGAAAAGAAGAAATCATTACATGTTTGGTAATTATTTCTTCTTTCTTGATTTAAAAATTTCTACACAAATTTAGAAACCCTTCCAACAAAAATTTGAATAGTTATTGTTTATGTTTCTCAACCATTGGAAATAAGAMATTGGAATATTTCACCAAATAAGCTTAGATATTTTTTTTATTGGTTTCTCCTGTCGAGGAGTATAATTCAGTAGTAGTAATTTGCATATATCTCCAATTAAGAGGTTGTGAGAATGAATCCTCACTCCTACATGTTGTATTAATTAAAAAAAATTACCTGTTGTATTAAAAAAAATTTTGAAGATATTTTTTGACAAATGAATTGAATTTTCATATTTTATATATTTAGATTTTGACATTAATTTTTTTTATTAATATCAAAATTGCTCCTATTTATTGTTTTTATGTTTAATAAGATTTGTGTTTTATTTAAATATTTAGATTTTATTTTAATTAAATGTTCCAAATTTAAAATTTTTATATTAAATATCATATATTTAGATTTTTTAATATTAATATCTCTAACTCATTTATTTCCCCAATTTTCTCCTTTTAATAATATACTCTAAATCATTCTATTTTTATTATAAAAAAAAAATAAAATTTCCATATTTTTCTCTAATCAAAATAAACATTCAAAATTATTTATTGTTTGAATTTTCTAGCAGTTATTGTTTAAATGTTTTGGCATATTTTTTTTTTGACGTTTTTATCTTACGTCTTTTTTTCAATAGTATTATAAATATATATTACTCTTATATAATATTTTTTTATTAGTTTATGTCAAACTATTAGATTATATAATATATTTCAATGACATTTATATAATAGATTTTAAACTAGAAGGTTATATAGTTAATAAAAAATTTAAATATCCACAAATTAAATAGAATTTCCTATTCTTAATTATTCTTAATTTTTTTTTTGTAAACACTTCAAATATTTCAACTCAAGAAGTTAGAATTGTTCAAATAAGGTGACTCACTGAAACTATTTATGAACATAACTATTTATTTTAAGGAAAATTTTATGATAATATAGAAACGGAAAATTTTCTTTATTATTATCATTTAGTATGTATTACAAAAATTTCCCGCTATACAGCMAGAAGRAATAAAGACAGCCTACAAGTTGATCCAGTAAAATAAGCCTTTTTATTAAGTTTGTTTATCTTTGTTCCTAATCTAATAATTTTAAATTTTAGATATCTATATTAGGAGTATATTAGGAGTATAATATAATTTAAAGAATAAATGGATAGTAAAAAAAAAAAAAACCTAGACACCTTATCATTATCTTCTTTTGATCAAGTCACCGCCCACACACACAGACTTTGTGTATTAAAATCTTAAACATTAATCCATTTATTAAATTGAATTTCTATATAATCTAGTAGTGTACTACTTATCATAATTTTGTTTTTGAGCATTGGACTCTAATTTTACTTTAGTTACATGCARGATATTAAATATTTGTCAACATGTCGATATTTCTATTGACATTTTTGTGTTCACGCGTTCAATTGAATATGAAAAATGTCAATAAAATATCACTAATATAGACAATATTAATATTGATTATTTTTAATTTATTTAGAAATGGTGAAATACTTATTTATTAATTTAATTTTTGTACTAATTTTGTTTATATAACATTTTAGAAATATTTATTGACACCGATATTTTATTGATATTTCTATCAGCCATTTATTAAAATTTTTTGCTCAAAGTTGAGTTAAAAGAAAAAAACTGGGGCGGGTGGTTAGTGGTCTGCTCCCCTCCTCTCCTCCTCTTTTTCATGAAGCATGTGAATTTTCACTTCGTACATTTTCTCTTCGTCCTTCAATTGAGTTTTTTTTTCGAGAGAGAATGTTCCTCTCTACTTTGTTCCAATTCTTTCGTGATTTTTTTTTGAAGAAGTAGGTAACATAGATTGAGATATAACATGGACCTCTCTTGCTGTTGTAGAGGTGATTTTCAGGGACTATCCTTCTTTCCCGCTATTTTTTTTTATGGCTAACGGTGGCTGGATATCGGGGATCTCCTTGTTGAATGCTGATAGTGTTGTTGCGGCTAACAAAATAAAAGACAACCTTATTATGTATGGTTCGTGCCCTCGTCATCAGGGCGTTTTGAAGGGTTATCACGCACAAAATTGGGGAGGGCACTCGCTGAGTCGCTTGTGATCTCTTAGGATGACTTTTCATCTTCATTGCATCATGGTTATTCAGAGAACTTCCTTAGACTAGAGGTAAGGATGATGGAGCAGAAGGTGGGTGACTGCGGAGGTGCGGCAGCGATCGGATTGAACACCGTTTTGGAATCTGTGAAGACAATCAGTCTTAATTGTATTAAAATCCGTGACCAACACGATTTGGGGAATTTGCCTAATCTTTCCTTACCTGTCATGGTGGAGAATAAGGTAACTTTGGAGACAATTATTCCATTTCCAATCATAAATAGGGGTATTATAATTGACAAGATCCTTCCATTAATTGAGGAGTCTCCCCAACATCATTGAATGAGGTTGAAGATGTTGTGACTTTGGAGGAGATGTTTAGTGRGCTAAAATYTGTTCATGTTCCTAGTTATTTGAACAAACAAGCTGTTTTATTTGGCAAGTGTGTGTCATTTTTTATCATTTCTATGTAATCCTTAGTGGTTATGTTTCTTTGATTAAAAAAAAAAGGCCAAAGTTAACAAATTTTAATGCTGACATTAAAATTCATTGCTTAGAAKATATGCTACTAAAGAATTAAAAGTAATCATGATCATGATATAATCACTTCCAAACGTGAATTAATATTTTACAATGATAGAGAATGATTTTAGAAAATAACAAAAACGATTTTGGTCACTTTCAAACATGGGAAATTTGAATTTGTGACCCCTACAGTAACTGAAACTGGATCAATGACCCCAATTTGAAAAAACCTAATTTGTGACCGCACCACCCCTTATTTACSATCCCTTAAATATTTTATTAATGGGAAAAGACAAATTTACCCTCATTGTTAATAAWTGTGCATTTATGATTTCCACCTAACATTTTCACCAAACTCTAAACCCATATTTTACATATGTTTGAACTTGAAACACATTATCCAAAATCCTCACAGATCATGTTTTAAAAATCCGCTCAAAGCATCCACGTGTTTGATCTTTGTCCCCACATTATCCAAAATCATTGTCCTCACATTTTCACTTTTGAAAAGTTAGGTATGTTACCTTTACACAACCTTTTGTATTCTAAAATTGTTGAAATTATTTGAAATATTTTCCCATGAATGGGTTCTACTACTGGATTGGGTTGTTGACAAGAAAAAAAAAGTCAGATTGTTGTAGTTACTTCAATCCCGGATCTATACCTGGTCCGAGATTAAATGTAAATAATCCTGGTGCATCACGTTTCGGGTCTGTCTCAGATAAATCTCGGACCAGTCTTGGTTCGAGACATGTCCTGGACTAATCTCGAAGCATATTTAGTCCGGGACATGTCTTGGACTAGTCTTGCTTCGAGATTTGTCCGGGACATGTCTCAGACCAAGACTGATCCGAGATTCATCCGAGACATGTATTTTTTTTTAAATTTTTAATATTTTATTTCTTAATGATTGATTTTCCTATCTCACTTAGTTTTATCTATTTGTAGGATGCCTCGAGTTTTCATAACATTCGGTGGAGAATGGAATGATGGTGAAAAAGATTATGTCGGCGATCGTACGAGAGGATTGACAGTGGATAGTACAATCACGTACGAATAATYTCTAGGTCACGTGTATAGATTGAGTAACATTAACCCCCTACAGTTTGCGAGCAAGATCGTCGAGACGCCTACGCGTGGGGCCATTGCTGACGCCCCTTGCATTCCAAAAGATGTGTATAAGAGACAGGACTAAAGCCCGGTCCGAGCAAGATCGTCGAGACGCCTACGCGTGGGGCCATTGCTGACGCCCCTTGCATTATATTATAATTAGACGCGTGTATCATTTTAAAACCAAAGTTTGTGTGATGGAGATAACTGATGACAATGACTTGCATTTTTTTTTGCAGGTACATGGGAATGAAACGTACATGTCTTCTTTCCCATATTATGTAGGCCAAAACRTGTCATCGATTCCTATGTCTACAGCTTGTATTCTCCCATTCCAGAGACCCACATATCCTATACCCTCATTTCCTTCCTCATCATTGAACCCTTCTTCTTCCCGACAGCCACACCCCTCATACGGGAATATAGGTCATGATGTAGAGGGTTTAACACCATTGAGGTCAGATGTTGTTCCATGTAATCTGGGAGATGACAGGGTGTGTGATTGAGATGTGCCGGGAGTGTGGAATGATAACRAAGATGAAAGTGATGAATCATATGACCCGTTGGCAGAGTTTGAAGAATGACACTCTGAAGCAGAATATGGGAACAAAGAGCATGCCGATGCACTTGATGAAGAGGAAGAGCTTGAGCCTGATGTGGAATAGGTTCACACTGAGATTCGTAAGGATGAAGAAGCGGTTCGGCGACCGAGATGTAATGGTCTCACCGGATACCCTAATGATGAGAAATTGCAACTCATAGTACAGTCGTTTGGGACAAATGATGTTAATGAGGGCRGTGTATTTGATACTAAGAAGGAGTTGAGTTTGAAAATGCATTTAGTTGCAATGCGGATGAATTTTCAGTTTAAAGTAAAAAAGTCGACGTCGGAGCTATATATACTGCGGTGTGTTCATACTGATTACACGTGGAGACTTCGAGCTACCAAGCWTAAGGAATGCACTTTGTTCAAGATAAAAAAATATTGTGCTGTCCATACGTGCTATGGTGGGGATTTAAAACAGGATTATATGMAA